AGAAAGAAGGCAGGTGGAAAGAAAGCAAATAGATGGTGGTGGAGGAAGAGAGAGAGGTGGAAAGAAAGCAACTTTAACTTTAAATGCATCTGCCTCTGAGCACCTCGGAGAAGGGATTTAAAGAGACAAATGCCTTCCCCAAGCCGGCTGGCGGGGGGTGGGTGTCTTTAAGAACACATTTAAAGTTAAACTTGCTTTCTTTCTCTGCTTCCCCCACCCCTCTCAAGCCTACCCAGGGAGGGGAAGACCCATCGGGGAAACATGCCTTCCTTTCACTTCCCCAGCTGCCCTGCTGGGAGCCACACAATAGGTGTGAAAGAGCCACGTGTGGTTTCCGAGCCACAGTTTGGCCACACCTGCCCTAATAGGCCTGCTAAGATTTGCAATTCCATCTAGCCTCTGAGGAAGCTTGCATGGGGCTGTATGGCAGTGGAAGGCAAGGGAAAAGAGGGGTAATCTAAGAACCTTAGACCTGGCTTTCAATTGGCTCGGTATTCTCTGAGCTGTCTCCTCCTCCTCCTCCTGTGCAAAGACGGTGGGGGCTGGGCTACAGCCAGCGGAGGGAGATAATGCAGATAACTGGGACAAGGGCTGCCTGATCCCATTAAAACACCCAGCTCCATCTGGCCTGCTCCTCTAACCCTGTTTTCGTTCTGCCGGGGAGCAGAGAGAAGCGCCATGAACAGGAACAGGAAGCCGCTGGGAGGCAAAGGCGTCGCCCCACCTCGGCAGGTGAGTCCTCTGACAGGGTTCCTGCCCTCTTGTCGTGTCTCTAAACAGACTTCCTTTCAAGGGCTTTGTTCAAGGGCTTGTACGTGTTGCATTGGGAAATGCTGTACAGGCAGCGGCGGCTCTGTCTTGTGAAACTCTGTGATGTGTGGAATGGATCCTCTTTCGCGTAGTGGTGAAGTGCGCCGACTTTAATCTGGGAGAACCGGGTTTGATTTCCCCACTCCTCCACTTGCACCTGCTTGGATGACCTTGGGGAAGCCGTAGTTCTGATAAGAGCTGTTCTTGAAAAGGTTTCTGTCAAAGCTCTCTCAGCCCCACCGACTTCAAAGGGAGTCTGTTGTGGGGAGGGGAAGGGAAAGAAGTTTGTGAGCCGCTCTGAGACGCCTTCGGGTGGTAGTGAAGGCCAGGGTATAAATCCAATGTCTTCCTCTTCTTCTTTCTTGCTTGGCTTACACCTGCAGCTTGTAACATCTTCCATCACAGCTTGTAACTTACACTTGCAGCTTGTAACATCTTCCATCCCTGTAGCTGTAAAAAGAACTGGTATAATCCTAACTGTAGCTGAGTAAATGCCTCTGTTATCTTTACATTGTTAAAAATTTCATGTGGGCAGCCGTATTGGTGTGAAGCAGTAGAACAGATTTAGAGTCCAGTCAGGCACCTTTAAGACCAACACAGTTTTATTCAGGGTATGAGCTTTTGTGTACGCTTTTTCAAATATATTGGAAGGAAGGAAAAGCTCAGACTTCTAGACAGGGGCTTTACAGCAAATTAACATGTAACTTGATGAAAATGAATACATTACGTGTTAAGTCCCCGTCTATACGTTTGAACCTTACCTACCGTTCCAATGTATTTGAAAAAGTGTGCCTTGCACACAAAAGCTCATCCCTTGAATAAGACTTTGTCGGTCTTAAAGGTGCCCAACTGGACTCTAAATTTCTTTTTTTAAATTTCAGTCAACTTTTGTAGTCTGCTGGTATTTGTAATTGTCTGTAAGAAATCAGAGCCTATATTCCAGTTCACAGAGTACCTGTAATTGGTTCATGGCA